ATCATGTGTTGCTTTTGCCATTACTTCTCCTCAAGGTCGTTCAGAGCGATCTCCTATTCAAGCACATCAACCCCCTTCGATACTTGATCTAGCGAAGGGGAAACACATTTACTTCTCTTACCCGGCCTCTGAAGCCGAAGGAGAAGAGGATGATGTCGCAACATCACGAGATAGCTCCTCACTAGAGGGCTATCAAGGACATGATGCAAGTCCTTCAATGCCCACATTTTCACAAGGCATTGAAGGCGCCTCTGGAGCTGAGGCTCAACCTGCAGCATCCGTTGCTGCAGGGGTTACCCCCGTGGCCGATCTGGTCACAAAGGCTGAGTTCCAAGCCTTTGTTGACTCAGTTCAGCGGTCCTTGGAAGATCTAAAACTCATCATACAAGGGATTGTCGAAAACCCTCCATCCATCGATCTTACCCCCTTCGACAGTCCCTTGCAACCCTCGAAACCCAAACCCGAGACAATACAACTCGTCTCTAAATGTTGCAATAAACTGTCACCCAACACCATAACACCGCCTCTGGCTTGGCCACCCAAAGAAACCAACTTTTGATGAACTCCATCGCCACCCTCATGGCCCAGGCAACTGCGATCGATGAGACCCTAGCCTCCATTACCACCCACATAAACACCATCCTTCAAACCCTCAACACTCTACCAGCCACCATCCTTTCCCAAATCCCTCAACCAACCCCACAACAAACAACTTCATCAATCGATGAAACCCTAGCCTCCCTCACCAACCAAATGGCCACCATACAAACCATGCTAAACCAACTCCCAGCCACCATCCTAGCCCAAATACCCCATCCACCACCCAGCCCTGCAGCACCATCTTTCGAAGAAGCCCTAGCCTCCCTTGCTGCAGAGCTTAAAGCCATGATCACCAACCTTCCCATTCCACCCACCGCATCCACCTCTACCTCCAAACCTCCCCCAGCCTCATCATCCACCACCTTCGAGTATGCCACCAGAGCCGACCTCAGGGCTCTATCCAAGGCACTTATCTCTTCTTTTAACGAGATAAGTGCTAAATTCATTCATCGAGTGGCTCAACCTACCTCCTACAATCTATGGAGGTCGATCGAAGAAGAAAGGCTATGAGAGCCTACCTGGCCTCCCTCCGCCTCAAGAAGAAGAGAAGCAGAGCTTCATGCCCGGCCAGCCACTCGTAGAAGAGGCCAAGGCATGAGGATCCAGACCAAGATGATCATGGTCTTGGTCCTCATGAGGGGGAGAACCCGGCTACTACAACTCAGGAAGCACCATCCGCTGCACCTTCATCATCCGATCACCAAACACAAAACCCACCATCATCACCAAACCAAGGAACACGAGCAAGGGAACCAGAGGCTCAACCCTCTAAAGATGTACATAATGTACATGTTTTCATTGCCATCATAGCTGAACCCATCGTGTTGAGTTCCTTATCCGATGAAAATCCATCAACCCCACCAACAAAAACCAACCCACCTTTCACTACATCACCAACACCAAGGCTACCATTAACCCCATCACCAACCCCTTGCACCACAAAACCTTTCATCACCCTATCCAATGAACCCGAACAAATAAACATCCAACCTTCTTCACCTCAACAACCTCAAGCCCAAACACAACCAGATGAACCTAAACCACCTCAACATGAGCCAACCCAAGAAACCATCCCATCGCCAACTGATACACAACCCGCAACCCAAACACACCCCTCAACCGATACACAACCCATAACCCAAACTCAACCCTCAACCGGACCAACAAAGGTGCATGCAGAAATTCCCTCTTCATCAAGGCACCCTCCGTAGAGTTTAGTCGACGAAATCATCGCAAATATGGAGTCGCTAAGGAGACGTCCGAAGATGCCACCAAGGGAACTAGTAATGATGGAGAATATCCATCAGTACCTATATCATGATCGCGATGAAGGTTTGACTCTCAGTCCTCCAATTCTATCGCCAGAATCCATGGAACTCCTACACCATAGGTTTGTTAGACAGTCTACCCAACCACCACAGGCTGTCTTTTCAAATAATGGAATAAGGTTGGTAACTGACATAAAGATGAGGACCTTCGCTAATAGAGCTATAAAATATATCGAGTACACAGTGGAGAGAGCTAATGGTCAGGTCAGTGTCTTCAATGACAATGACTTGATCAATCTCAATTCCTATGACTTGATCGAGCTTTATGCATTCACAACTCAGCGACAGGATCAAGGCATAAGATTTGGGATGGCAAACAGAGCAATTATGAGGACGATGGAGATCTTGGTGTAGCATCGAGCCAAGGGTGATTTTCAGATTGCTCTTCATTTGGGCATCGATGGACTCCCCTGCACTCCACGTAATGAAAACTTCCCAGGCCTGCAGGAGAAGAGATATGCTTCTGTCTTGACTCAACCCGAGCTTGGACTTGTCTTCAAGAATGAGTTTAGGGTAAATAAATTTTTTAGACTAACTGAAGCATTCAAGTATTCAACCGCAACACTTGAATGGTTTCAGGGAGTTATTAGAGATAGACTGGGTAGAACTCATGTGCCAAGGGAAGACGGGAAACAACTTATTCATGAGATATCTATAGTCATCAGTTATCGAAGACTGCTACTGCGCTTTTGGGAAATATCTCAAGGTAGACCATGAATAGAGTTTTAAAATTTTTTGCCTTAAAATTGTAATGTCTTTGCTTCCAATATTGTAAGAATTCATCATCCAATGAAAATTTGGAAATTGATGTTTTTCTTTAGATTAGTCTATGTTCTTCAATATTGTTCATATATTAGTTTATGTTTGTTCTTTCATTACTTAGGGGGAGATTGTTAGACCCCATAATTCATAAATGTAAAAGTAATGAAGAACAATAAGTAATGAAGAACCAAAAGACCGATAAAGACGTTAAGGCAGAATTGACTAAGTCTGGAGAACAACCAGAGGGTTGATGAATCGACCAGAGATGCAATGGAAAGAGCATCTTCATCACCCCTTTGGTCAACAACACTTAGAGTTTTCTTCATCAGTTCAACCAGAGGCATGCGATGAAGATAAGGTTGAATTAACATCCCATGGAAGACAGCTGGAGATAACAAATCGACAACTGGATTTTAAGTTTATCTTGATTTATAGTTTATCCATACTTAGATAAACATTATCTTTCCTAGAAGATTGGCTAGAAAGTTTTACTAGATAGCTATCTTCTTATTGCTAGTATAAATAGGTAGCTAGGCCTATTGTAAAATAAGACTTTTGAAGTGAGTTTTTACGTATCTTTAATGCTCAAGTATATGCTTTGAATATCTACATTCTTTGTTCTTGAGTATTCTTCATTTTATTCATCCACACTACTTATTTAGGTTATTCATAATCTATTTATTCTTGTTATTGAGAGATCTGGGATCAACATAAATTTTGCTCCTGATTTCCTTTACAAGTTGCGCAGTCGTACGATGATTCTCAGTAAAGAGTTTTTGATTCCGCTCTTGCCAGATGTTGTAAACTGAAGCCGCAAGCGCCAGTTTCTGCGTTAAACGTTTAGGCGATCTCCTCGTGTCCAAAAAAAACATCCATGATTTGGTCCCCACGAGTCTGGCATATTCATCCAATCCACTCCTTGTAAGATGATATCCCAAACCTCTCTTGAAAAAGAACACTGGAAAAAAAGGTGGGGATGGCTTTCCAAGCAAGAGTTATAGAGCGAGCATTCCAAGTCCGGAGGTTCATCTTTCCAAAGCATATGGTCTTGGGTAGGAAAACGGCAATGACAAGAAAGCTAAAGACAGAAAGCATGCTTGGGAATATGGCCTGAGAACCAAACCGATTTATACCAGGGTACAACCGGATGGGTCCCCTCCAGAGAAGACCAAGCAGTACTAACCGTGAAATCCACACCAGAGTTGTGATTATCCACCCATAAAACTTGATCACGAACAAAGTCATTCAATGACGGTAATGCAGAAGTAGGAAGCTCATCATACCTAAGACACCAATCAAACGACCACTCCCCATCCAAAACCAAAATTAACTCTCGAACCGTAGTGTCGGTCAAAAACCCACAAGAATGAATGAATCTGTAGGAGATGAAGAAAGAAAGATAACCACAGGCGAGCCTAGTATCCTCTTAAGCATTAGAATCTCGTCCATCACCAATCTGTGAGATCAGAAATCATCGCAATTAGGGTCGTAAATCCAACAGTTTGCACATAACCCACGACCAATTGGAGTTTTTTCAAACGATCCAGAAGTGTGAAGATCTAAGATTATTCTGGTACACCCATCTAACCCACAACGAGTTACGGTGTCTCAAAATATCCCAGATATGTTTGGCAAATAATGCCCTGTTCCAGGTTGCCAAACGCCAAAGACCAAGACCGCCACTCGCAAGAGGCCAAAACACCACTTCCCAAGATAACCTACATCTGCCTCTAGGATCCTCCCTTGGAGCCCAAAGGAATTTCTGAAAGAGAGTTTCGATATCATGGATGATCCCAGAGGGAAACAGGAACATAGACATCCTATCAAGCTGTTAAGATTGAAGGATCGAGATAATAAGTTGTCTTCGTCCTCCAAAAGAAAGGAACTTAGACTTCTAATTGAGAATGCGACCCCTAATCATAGCAACCAAAGGGCCATAATCGCCCGACTTCAAATGGGTATGGAATAATGGAACTCCCAAGTACCAAAAAAGAAAAGAACCAAGATTGAAAGGAAGACACTCAAGAATGGATTCCTTAATATTAGGAGGAACATTCCCAAAGAAAACCTTACTTTTTTAAGACTTGGTGCTAACCCTGATCGTTTCTTAAAAAGATGAAGTGCCTATTTAAGAAACTCAACCGAATGAACATCGCCCTTCGTGAACACAAAAAGGTCGTCAGCAAAGCATAGGTGCGTCAAATCCAAGTCTTCACAACCTCTGTGATACCCAAAATCAGCAGCTTCCTGGATGCATTGCTTGAGGAGCATTGAGAACCCATCCATCACGATCGCAAAGAGATAAGGGGATTACGGATCCCCTTGCCTTAGCCCCCTTCCCCCATGAAAAAACCTGTACGTATTACCATTAATCACATGCGAATAAGGAGTTGAAACCATCTCCTTTATCCATTTGACCAAAACCAGCTTGAACCGCATTCCCATAAGCTTAGTAAGAAGGAATTGCGAGTCCACCGTATCGTAAGCCATCTTGATGTCGATTTTAAACGCGCATCTCGGAGGCCCTTCCCTAGTTTGGTAACCTGACACCAACTCATGAGCCATAAGAATATTATCCATAATCTTCTGACCTGTAATAAAAGCCGATTGGGCACCATCATTTAAAGAATTCAAATGGCCCTTCATTCTGTTAACGATGACTTTACTAATGCATTTGTAGAGCACCATACAGCAAGCTATAGGTCTATAATACAAAACCTTATATGTATTAATAGATTTAGGGATAAGACAAATGAGTGTATGATTCAATTCTTTTAGAAGGTTACCTCGATAGAAGAAATCATGGATAAGGATCTCCACATCACGACCGATGATATCCCATGACGCTTTGAAAATCCGAGACGAATAACTGTTAGGACCAAAATTGATCCTAATTATTCTAAAAGTTTTATCAAGCAATCGGGGCCAAGGATGGAAAATATGAAGATGCTGTTGTGCTAAAACGACTAAGTCTGGAAGACGACCAGAGCCTCTGGTTGTATAGACCAGAGACTTTGGACTCTAAGTCCTTTAGGACCATAGCCTCTAGAGTCTAAGTCCTTTAAGACCAGAGCTCCTCTGGACGACCAGAGCCTCTGGTTGTATAGACCAGACACTCTGGACTCTAAGTCCTTTTGGACCAAAGCTCCTCTAGACGACCAGAGCCTCTGGTTGTATAGACCAAGGACTCTGGACTGTATGTCCATTAGGACCAGAGCTCCTCTACACAACCAGAGCCTCTGGTTGTATAGACCATAGCCTCTGGACTCTAAGTCCTTCAGGACCAGAGGCCCTCTGGTTGGTCTATGCTCTGGACGACTATCTTCAGAATCTTGAAGGATGGTGTTGATCCCATTTTCGATAATGATTTTTCCTTGTTTATAGGATTTAGTTACCTTATTTATAGGATTCAGTCATCATGTAAATATCGCCTATATAAGAAGTGATACAGGCATAAAATAGAAGTGAGATGAATGATCAACACTTTGTAACACAAGGATTCAAACACATCACATGAGAGTCGATTAGGGTTTTTGAGAGAGTTTGTATTCAATAAAGAAAGCGGCGGCCAATTTCTATTCATCTTCTTCTACAAATCTCTCATTTTATATTCCTGTTAAGTTGTTCTACTGTCAGATCTGGGTTTAACTATTGGTATAAGAGCCAAATTGATTAACTTCTATCGATTCGATCTTTCTGTAGTAGATTCAATTTTCTTGAACAATACTCTTTCATGAACTGCTTCCTGTTCGACTGCAGTTTGGACCCAAAATTCACCGATTCATCATATGATTAAATGTTTTAATCAAATTCCTTTTAAGGGATTTGTTATTGGATGAATACGAACCTATTTTGATCATAAAAAATTGGTTTATTTGATGGAGTTTCTTGGAGTCAGTCAAACTTTTGAACCTTGATTTTATCGGATCTACGCATAGGCGTTAATTAGGAGTTCATGGTGCTCACAGTCTATGGCAATGGGCGTTTTGTTTGTCAAACCTATACTTATCGCCCATATCTTGAGTATTTGTTCATCGTCTCTCCTTGTAAATCTGAATTTGTAAGAGGTTAAACATTTATTTACCTGCAATCACCAATCTTATATGAATATGGAAATATTCCTTTATGTTTTGACCTTAGAAGCATCAGCAACAATATTGTCAATATGCTTTGAATTGACCTACTGTTTCTTGAAGCCATAAAGCTTAATGTTAATTCTTCTCTCTAGTTCTCAATTATGGTGTTTGCATTGGTTATTCAAGTTATCTCCAAGTGGATCAAGCTCTAAAGCTGAATTCCTACTCAACTTGTGGTTCAACAAAAGATTCTTTGTCATAAGACTGGTTGCACTATTTTGTCAAGAAATTCACACATTTATCTATCCCTTAGTTGGATGAATTTGCTACTTTTGGGGTTGAGTGGCTATTATGTGCTTCAAAGTATGTGTTGGGTTGTAGGCAGATGAAAGATGCATTCTGTGCTATTAGTGGTGCTACATTCACATTGAATATGATTTGGTCTAAGAGTTGAAAATGAAATTATAGAGCTACATTCAGGGGGAAGATTGAAGATTCCATCCATACAAAGCACACTAAAGCTTTATTCAAGAAAGCAGAGGGGAGAAGACCTGAAGGCTTCATGAGGATGCTTGCTTTATACAACTTTGGGGGGAGATTGTTCGGACCAAAATTAATCCTAATTATTCTAAAAGTTTTATTAAGCAATCGGGGCCAAGGATGGAAGATCTGAAGATGCTGCTATGCTAAAACGACTAAGTCTAGAAGACAACCAGAGCCCCTCTAGACGACCAGAGCCTGTGGTTGTATAGACTAGAGACTTTGGACTCTAAGTCCTTTAGGACCAGAGCCTCGGACTCTAAGTCCTTTAAGACAAGAGCTCCTCTGGACAACCAGAGCCTCTGGTTGTATAAACCAAAGACTCTGGACTCTTAAGTCCTTTAGGACCAGAGCTCCTCTAGACTCTAAGTCCATTAGGACCAGAGCTCCTCTGGACGACCAGAGCCTTTGGTTGTATAGACCAAAGCCTCTAGACACTAAGTCCTTCAGGACCAGAGGCCTTCTGGTTGGTCTATGCTCTGGACGACTATCTTCATAATCTTGAAGGATGGTGTTGATCCCATTTTCGATAATGATTATTTCCTTGTTTATAGGATTTAGTTACCTTATTTATAGGATTCAGTCATCATGTAAATATCGCCAATATAAGAAGTGATACAGGCATAAAATATAAGTGAGATGAATGATCAACACTTTGTAACACGCATATTCAAACACATCACATTAGAGTCGATTAGGGTTTTTGAGAGAGTTCTTATTCAATAAAGAAAGCGACGGCCAATTTCTATTCATCTTCTTCTACAAATCTCTCATTTTATATTCCTGTTATATTGTTCTACTGTCAGATCTGGGTTAACAATAACCATCTGATCCTGGGGCTTTATTGTTGCCAATACTAAACATAACATCTTTGATCTCCTCATTGGCAATAGGCCGGATCATATGGTTAACTTCAGACAAAGAGAGTTTCGGGGGTAAAAAGATTATCAGACATAATCAGATCAATTGAAACATCCCGCTCACTAAAAACTCTTTAAAATAATCCACAAAAACATTAGGGACATCATCCCCATAAACATAGTCTCCTTGGCTACAAAAAGATTGGATGAAGTTAGATTCATGCCTTTGTTTTATAACATTAGGGAAGTATTTAGTATTCATATCTCTCTTATTCAACCATTTGACTTTGGCTCTCTGTTTGGCAGCAAATTCCTCATCTTAGCAAGCCTTTTGATAAGCAAGACGAAGGTGACCAAGATCAAGGCCCAAGTCCATATTTGAGGGGTCTTTGTCCACCACCAACTGTATCTGATCTAATTCTTCTTTCAAGAAGGACACCCGAGCCACAAAATTGCCATAGGAATTACGAAGCTTTCGTAGAGGGGTATTGAGGGATTTCAAGTGACTTTTCACCCTAAACATAAATGTCCCCTCTACATGCTTTGACCATTCATCCTTCACAACCTGCAAGAAAGATGGGTGCTCCACCAAGAAATTATCAAATTTAAAGCCCCAACTATTTTTCCGCGTTCCTCCTTTGAAGGATAAAACTGTCGGAGAGTGATCCGATAGCCTAGAGGGTAAGAAGTGAACATTAGCATCATGGAACAGAGAAGTAAATTTCGAATTAGCCAAAACCCTATCCAATTTGCGCTTGATTCCCCCCTCTTCATTTGGCTTTTGGTTCCAAGAGAAATGGATACCCGTGCAATGCAAATCAAAAACTTCCACATCCTCCACACAAGCAAAGAATTCCGACATAACAGCATTGCCACGAGAGGATCCCCCAAAACCGTCATGAGGAAAAAACATGGCATTTAAGTCACCTATAACAGTCCAGGGTTTAGAAACTATCAAGACTTTGAACTTTCGCAGACCTGACAAAAGCTCCGTCCTTGTATTGGTATTATTGGCCCCATAAATAAAGGAAAAGAAGATAGGGTCTTGGCCTCCCCTGAGTTTTAACTCGCAATTCAGGAATTGCTCGTGGACCTCAAGAATCATGACATCTAGAACCCGTAAATCCCAAACAAGAATTAGACGGATCCTAGAGTCACAAGCCATCTGGTTAGAGATCCAAGACCAACGGCTAAAAGTACAAGAACGAACATTCTCTAGGGAATTCTTGGAAACATGAGTCTCTAAAATTGCACACAAACATAAATCATTGCAATGGAATAAATTTCTCACCTCTTTTTGTTTGACCGGGGAGTTGAGCCCCCAGATATTCCAAGAAGCAAAATTTAACATGATGGGAAAATTTGATCCTCCTCCCCTTGGTCCCTTGTTTCCTCAATCAAAGTACTCGAGCCAGGATCCTTGTTTATAGACACACTTGTACCCCCTTGAGTCTCCTCCCCTCCCAAATCCTCTAGATCCCCAAATCTATTTGATACCATGGTGGAGTCAATCATAGTCCCTCTCCGAGCCATCCGAAAAGACTTTACGATAGAAGCTATAAGTGGTGCAGTTTTAGCATTCATCATCCCAGAACCCATATGCTTACCAACTCCATTTGTACCCTTACCTTGCCCCTTTGAAACAAATTTCACAATTTGGCCAGTTAGACCGGATGATTTTTCAACTGTCTGATCCACATTCGGCTCCTCAGGCTATTCCCTCCTCGATGTACTTGTTTCCATATTAAGGACCGACTTTCATATTGGAATTTTTGGGTCGAGGATTTGGAAGTTGAGAATTACAATTTGTTTTGGCTCTCATTGCCGTTTATCCACTCTGACGAAGCCATCTGAGTCCTTTTTCCCATCAACCTATTTCCCTTTAAGAGCGCTTACTTCCTTCACATATGATGAAGTTGTTTGGCCAAAAATGTTGCAAAGGGAGAATTAGAGTGGCTCCTAGATGTATTCCACCTGGATATCGACCTTTTTATCTTCTCTTCGGTTTATGTTCAGAACCACTACCATGATTTGCCATTCAAGTTCCCCTATTGCCTAAACCTGAGATAACCAGGTTTTGGTTATTACCCAATGTATTTATTATGTGAATTAATTGGTTATGTGGATACATGCTTACATGAGTTAAAATGCGTAAGTATGTGTATTCCAT